TGCCTTGACTTCCTCCTTTCGGGGTTTTCCGATTTTGTTTGGTAGATCTGGCAACTCAGCTTCTATTGTTAACTCATAGCTATCATTACCAGCTAGGCTCCTCACATGCTCGCTAACAAGGCATTAGAAGAGTTAGGTCTCCGACAGCATCGTGTTATGAACATAAATACTCCTACTTAACAGAGGGAACTTGAATGCAACAGTTTTGGACAAAGTTTCCGATACTAACCGTCCGTACACTCTGGATTGATTCTACTCAGGAATTTGGCCGTTTTCTCTGCGGAGCATGTGCGATTGTACAGACTCTTCTCTCCATAGCAGAACGACCACTAGTGGGAGGGGCTACTCCACTACTTCATCCATTGAGGATCGTGTTGTTCTCTCACATGGATAAAAAAATGAAAAGCGCTCAAACGAGTCGCCAAATCTACTTTGATAGACGGTAGGCATGTCACGATAATTGTCGTTCATCATTCCACATATGGACATGACCTCCATCATATTTACAATTTCTTCTTATTGTACGATAGAAAAAGGCTTCCATAATTTGTACGTTATCGACTTATCATGCAATATATGGACATGACCTAGCTCATTTTGACGTTATAGAATATCTGAATTAAGGATTAAAAGTTCATCGCTCTTTAAGGTGGTGTACTTGCATTGTTATATTATCATTATGTCAGTGACCTAAAATGGTCTTAAAACAACAATAATATTGTTTACCGACAGTATATTGTCCAACAAAAGTAGTTATGGTAAACGGACCACCGGTCTCCGGGTAGACAACACTGGTGTGTGTACTTCTACTAACTCTCTTCCTCTAATTAAAGTTCAGCTGCTGCTGCTGTCTTTGTACCTGCGGGTCAGGTCAGCGAGTTGCACAGCTGGTAGCTCTGAATACATGGAATACGTGTCTGTGTGTGTTTTCTTAGCTCCGCGAGGACTCAGGCTTCAGTGGAATGTGCCTTTATGTTCTCGTCTCATGGCCGGAGGCGACGAAGAGCGAAGCTTCCATTATGTTTGGTACCACGAACCAAGTGGACTAGGTTCTGATCTGTGACAGAGTAGAAAAAGAGCAGGTGCTGCTCAGGTTTTGGTTCCGATATGGCAGAACGTTAGACACTATCGTGTCTCTGTTGTGGTACACAGACCTGGTCCCTGTTGGTCCACTGTGGTATCATAGTTCTACAGAACTGGCTTCATATCATAATGCAGAGATGGTTCCATTGAGTCATGACACAGAATGAGTTTAACTGGGGTCAATGCAGCTCCTATTACAGAACCAGCTCAACCTATTTCCAGCTTATTTCCACTGTGGTACAGAGCATCATTTTACAAAACTGATTTGACTTTCAACCATTTCTATTCTCACATAAGGACCACTTTGCCGAAGTGGTTCCATTTGTTTTTGTCTCTTTCAATCACTGCATAGAGAACTGGTTTGATGCGGCTCCTTCACCGTCTGGTTCCGATGGTTTTCACTGTTTCTGTTGTGGTGCTCTAAATCTGACTAAACTCTGTCCTATTTCCATCGTGGCCCGGATCATAACGGGTCATACCGGTTATGATTGTGTCCCGCTGTACTATAATAGGGCTTGTAAACAATGTTCCACTCCTGGATCGACTGGTTTCTCTTTGGTTTCTATTGTTGTTCTTGTTACTTTTCTCTGGTCAATGAAATGACAACACTGTCAAGGGTGTCTCTGATTGGCTCAAGGTCCGCCTGCTACTAACTGTGGGAATTCTGATAATGTGTGTGTGTGTGTGTGTGTGTGTGTGTGTGTGTGTTACAGACTGCAGGAAGCGGGTTTGTTATTGTGTCTCTCTGCATTCCTCAGACTTGAACACACTCTGCACCTGTTTCTGTCCGTCCGTAACATACACACACACACACATGAATGCACACACACACACGCGGACACTTACACGCACAAATCACAGCCTTTCGTCACCAATCGAACAACACATTCAATGGGAAAATATGCCGGCGCGGCGTGAGACATAAATCAGAATATTTTCTACAGGAACAACACAAGCATGTGTGTGTGTGTTTGTGTGTGCAAGCACGTCTGTGTGTGAGCGTTTTCGCGTACAAGCTTCGGGTCAATAAATGTGGTTTTATCATCAGAACACTCAGTTCTCAGAGGGGAAGAGGCGGAGGAGGAAGTTTGGGGGGATTTCAGTTTAGGTCTAATGACATCTACAGACACTGTGTGTGTGTGTGTGTGTGTGTGTGTGTGTGTGTGTGTGTGTGTGAGTGCAGAGACTGATGGAGTTGAATGCTTAAAACTCCTGCAAGGTGCGTTGTGGGAAAGGCACCGGCATCTCCCAGCTGATTAGCTCGCTTAGCACCTTACATCTGTGTATTTAAGTTTGTGCGTCTACAAGTGTGTGTGTGTGTGTGTGTGTCGTGAGTGTGTGTGGTTGGGTGCGTGTTTCCTGACCTCAGTCTTTCCTTCCCACAGTTCCCAGTGTTCCTTGCTCCTCAGATGTCCTGATTGTCGCCGTGTCTGCGTCTTTCCGGCGACCAGTCGTTTTCAGGAAGTAAACACAGTCGACACAAGGCTATGCTCTGGAACACTAACTATTGTGACTGAACAGTCACTGCGTGCAACACAACCCACGGAGGGATTGAACTTTTTGCAAATGCACGCTGTATAACTTTGTATTGTGGATGATGTAGTTTTTTTGCTACCATTCTACTCCAGGCAGATATTGGTTCCAGCGTGTCCTTCACATTGATTAATACGTCTGCTTTATTCTGCCAGTCAGTCACCATCAATACATGGACGGTATCACAGTTAATGCACGGACTCATTTTTAACCTGCAGAAATGTTTGGTAATGAAATGATGTCTCAAAACACAGAATCATTTCATGTTAAATAAAACAAAACATAACCTCCTTGGTGAAGGTAACAAGTTAAATGAAGAGGCTATAAAGAAGTGTTTTACAGATATTTGCTGCTATTATTGTGTCCCTCGCCGGGCGCGTTCCCGTCGGTCGACGTGCAAAGGCCCGGGGTAAAGGTGGCTCTCTGCTCCCTTGTGCCCTTACTCCCTTGTTCCTTTCCTGAGAACCAGAAAGGCTCACTCAGTGTTTTGTTGCAAAGTTCATCGCTGTGACGCTTACTCAGTGTGCCAAATACCCGCTGGCAATCAGGCATATCCCTCCCAAGTTGACCCCCCTGTCGCACTCACTGTTCATATTTGTGAATACATGTTTTGCAGTTTGAATAATGAAAACTGGGCTTTAGTAAGCTTGTAAGAGACATTTTAGTGACAATTGCAAGTGACAAATAATTGTCTTGTGATTTTGGAGACGACTTCCCGCTGATGTGGAACTGAACGCAGCCGATATGTATCGGAAAGTCTTTCCTCTCAGAAGTAACAACCTTTTAGTGATCTGAAGAAAGAGTCAGGAGGTTTTGGTTTTAATACCTCTCGGGGAGTGTGGGAAGTGAGATGATGTTATTTTTATTGTTATTTTTTATAATGCCCTCAAGTGTATCTGTTTGGTCCCTCCATCTTCTTCTTTTATTTCTTCCGTCTGCGTTATATCGTCAGATTTTCTTCCACGCATCTGTGTTCCATCCGTATGCAAATACTGTGAAGTTAACAAAGCAGCTCATGTCTTTTCCAGGGGATGGCGGTAGATTAGTGAGGGGGGGGGGTAGCTGTGGAGCTTCTTTCATCTCGATGTGAATCAGTGGGGAAGTCGGAGAGAAAGAGAAGAGCGCTTTCAACAGCTGTTCCAGGGTTTGCGTCACGCGGCGCGGCCTAGCGTCATGGCTGAGTGTTCGCACGCTATGCGCTCACACTGAGGCATGCTGGGGGACCCCCAGTCGAAGGCATGACCAAACACAGGCATCGTGTTCTCACGCTGCCGAGGAACAACGTCACCTGTTCTCCAGCGATGACAGGCGGCCGGTTCTGCTTGCAGTCTCTCGTTTTACTGCGCGTTTGCTGCATGACTGCTGGCCCTCTCAGAGGAGTCTCTGTCGGTCTGAATGAGGAGGGGGGGGCAGAAGATGCTCTGTGGCTTTTGTATAATATGTCAGAAAATATGTTATCAGTCTTCAGGACTCACACATGTGGCGGGCAGTCGATGCGGTTACCACGGCCACCACTGCGCGTTTACAACGTGGTGGATTGAGTTTAAACTCAATAACTTCTTTTGATATGAAAGAATAAATACTATCTTCTTAATATTACTGTATATTTAAATGTGATAACATTATCAGTAGCAATGACAGGATGTTCATGTTAATATCTTATCATTTGAAGCTTTTTTTTGTTCTTGATAAGAAAAGTGTTTGAAATCATCTTATAAAACAAAAATGTTGAATAATGTGAAGGCCTTTAAAAAGTACCACACATCTATTAATTTAGCAAAATGTAAGACAATTAATATAATTTACAAGCTTCATATACACACATTTACATTAGATATTAATATAAAGAAAACTAAATTATATATTACAAAAAGTTTTAATCTTATTAAGTATGAACTAATTTATTTAAGTTTGTTTGTTTCAAAAGTAACAAATAACATTTTTACAAAATTCAAGTATATATATATATATATATATATATATATATATATACAACATAAACATAACATCACATTCTGAAATTATTCTTGTAAATTCTAAAAAGTGCTTTTTTTGCTTCTCTTTCACCAAATTAATAAAGCATAAATATGAACAGACCAGAGCAGCTGCCTGTTTTTCTTCCCGTATGAAAATGAAAAGCAAAGAGCAGTGACCGTTGAGGAAGTGGTGTGTTGATGCAGTCGTGTGTATGAAGGCTTGATGTGGACGTCTGCGTTGAGCAGAGACGTGTCAGTCATCTGCTGGAGGTGACGTCTGTCTGAAGCTGCTCCCTGCTGAGCCTCATGTTGTGTTTGGCCGCCGGCTTTCTAAGAGAACGAGTCGTGTTTTGATCGGAGCTCAAATTCCTCAATGACGTTCCGTGTTTCTGTGCTTTTGTGCTGCAGGTGTACGCTCCGTCTGCCAGTACAGCAGACTACAACAGGGACTCACCGGGCTATCCCTCCTCCAAACCTCCCAGCGCTGGCTTCCCGAGCTCATTCTTCATGCCAGGTACTCACACACACACACACACACACACACACACACACACACACATCAGAGCTCGCTGCAGGGGATTCCTGAGCTTATACTGGATCATGGACGATGGGAAAGATTTTTTAGGGTAAACTCCTCAACAACACAGACGAGGAGTGGTTTGTCATCACATGTACCCGTCTCTCTCTCTCTCTGTGTCAGACGGTCACCACAGCGGCGACCCCTGGAGCAGCAGCAGCAGCAGCATGAGCCAGCAGGGTTACCATGGCAGCATGCTAGGGGGCGGGAACTCGTCCCACGGCCCCGCCCAGAGCTCCTCCTCCTACTGCGGGATTCACCCTCACGACAGATTGGTGAGCAGAGCTGCGACGGGTCTGTACAGGTCGCCACATTTATTTCTTTAATTCCTAGAATGGCAAAAGTCATGCCCCGCCCCACTCTGCCTCTAATTGGCTAGTTCTCTGCGTGACACTCAGTCAAGTTCAGTTTTACCTTAAATTTCACAACTTTTCATGATATTCTACACATGAAGCACTTTCATATCCTCTTATTTTCCTCTGTTGTTTCTCTTTTATGTTTCTTTTTTAAAGAAAATACTGTTTATTTCTCTGTAGATTTCTCCTAATTTCACCAAAATATAGCACAAGTTATGGAACATTTGCATGTTTAAACATAGAAACACAAGACGTTTGTCTTCAACATGCATGTCATTTTACAATACGTGTAGTTTTTTTCAGACTCTGTAGCACTTACACACACCAAACGTTCCAGTTTCATTCCTCTCTGTATTTGCAAGGTTTTTACAGAGACGTTAGTTCATATATCATTCATAACCTGATTTATAGAGCATTGTATTCCTAAAAACATGGCAAAAATATAGTTTTGAGTGATACCAGAGAAATCAGCTTTCACTCTAATATAATATAATAATATGTCAACAAAATATTAAAAGAATGTTGAACCTGGCTTTATCTAATGTTCAGATTTCTCTTCTGAAAATGTTCAATTTAGCACGGATTTAATAAGACAATGCCTCATTTACATATTTAAACAATATTTCAGCTTGTAATATATATTTAAAAAAGAATTCCCTTCATGTAAGTACTCAACTGGAGAAGTTTGCTGGAGAAATCTATTAGTTACATTTTTTGACTCTCTTCCCTGCAGCGTCTCGCCCTTAAACTTTATCCAGTTCTGTCTGTCTCTCCGCAGAGCTACCCGTCGCACTCGTCTGCAGACATCAACTCCAGCCTCCCCCCCATGTCCAGCTTCCACCGAGGGGCGGGGGGAGGAGGGGGTGGGAGCGGAGGAGGGGGCAACCACTACAGCACCGCCTCGTGCACCGCTTCCACCAACGGCACAGAAAGCATCATGGGTAAGACGTCTGTGTTTGACTCCAGTTAATTAGTGAGTAGTGCGAGATCGTGCACAGGTCTGTTCCACTCATTTGAATGCCTATAAAAAAAGTTCAAGTCAGGGTATGTGTGTCTTACGACTTCAGACTTGGACTCGAATCGGACTTAAGTCACAACAGTGGCGACTTGGGACTTGAATTGGACTGCTGACTTGGACTTGGACTCTGAGACCGACTCCCTAAAGACTTGACTTTTTCCCCCCAAAGATGTTAGGAAGCTCTGCTGTGTGTCAGCGTTCTCACTCGTACACCACTCGCTGTCTGTGAGGACACCAGAGCATTTACATCTTCTCGTCTTGGATTCGATGTCTTGGATGCACTTGCTGGGTTTGTGTTTTTTTGACTTCGTAGAAATCCACGGATTTACAATCACTACTTGCTAAACAAGATCACCGGTGCCTTTAAGACCACGTTTTATTGTTTTTATTTACTGCCACATAAGCAGTTAGAACCGTCCCCGCTGTGATACCACTCGGATGATTTCAACCACTTAATCACTAAACTTCAGCGTCAGGGGAGAAGGCGGGCGGTCAGAAACCGAAGAACAGTTGTACTCTGTTTTGGCTCGACCTTGAAATCACCGACACACACACACACACACACACAGCGTGCCATATGGACCCCTTGCTTTGAGTCCCATAGAACAAATAGGACCAGCAATAAGAAACAGATTGAAAGTTTGTTTTCATGGGAAGACGTCTCCAACATTCCACAAAGATATCTCACACACACACACGAGCAGATGAGTGTAAACACAACATGGAGCTAATAAAAAACATGACGCTGTTGTTTAAATGCAAACGTATGATGTGTGCGCACAGCGCTCACAGGCAGTTTCTCTGCATCGGTCCGATTGGTGCGAGTGAGTTCTCTTCACAGAGAGCAGCAGCCGCTGTGGTCACTGTGGATTCATGTCGGTAACAATTGATTTTAATAATGAGCCCTGAAACAATCATTTTCTCTGTCAACTCACCGACAGACTCGTACTCTCAGCTCTCAAAGACGTGCGGCAGGTGGCTCACCGTAAAATATCACAAAACCAACCAACCTCGTCTCCTACAAAATTCAGTTCCCATTCAACTAAAGTGCATGTTTGTCACGTTATTTAAGCAACGTAAATACAAAGTCAAGTGGACTTTTGGTCACACGGAACACTAACTGTGGTCTCCTAGGTGAAAGTCCTGTGTCCGTTTGACCCATCCATCCACCCCGACCTCTTCCCTACGATGACTATCATTATAAACGGATTTGTGATGTGTACAAAAACAAACGTTTTCCTCCTTATGTGCTCCTTTCTAGGAGCACAGACCTGATTGCGACCTCATCCGTGTTGACCGTGTCCATATTACTGTGACAAAGAAAGTGACACAAAAATACTGAAGTGGTTTAATACCACAATAACGATGAATGTATCGATCCACTGATGAGTAAAACAATGTAAAAATGAAGAGTTATCTGCATTGAGAGCTGTTTGAATCACACAGATATCACGCTCATGTGTTTTGAGTCAGCGTGGGTTGGATGACAGAACACTTACAGGCCCTCACGTCTCGCTTCCACCTGAGACTCCCGGTTAGCGTCCGTTGTAAATGACGTGAATCCAAATGGACCACAGCTGCTGTTGTTTGTGGAGAAACTACAGATGTCACAAGTTCTCACTTGAAGTCCAGTGGTATAAAACTATTTAGAAATGAAAAGAATAACCAGGGTCAGAGACCTCGGGTTAAATCCCCGTCTTGGTCATGCATTCCAATGAACACCATTGATGGGTGTTCAGCAACTCCTCCTTCACTGGGTTTTAAAAATGCTGTGTGTTCACACAGGAAACGTTACACATGTAAGTATACTCCAAAACTCATGCATGCACCCTAAAAAAAAAAAAAAGCGTCATCTATTATTGTGCTGCTGATGGTCCCACAATGCAATACTGAGAGGAAATAGAAGAAGCTCCAAGAAGAAGGAAATAGAAACATCAAATCTTCATTTCCTGTTGGTAAAAAAGGTTGAAGTACATTTGATTCCTTGTATACTAGCTGCAAAAACTGTGTGCTATGCATACTAGTATATAGTAAGCAATATATACAGTAATATGAATTTGGGTCACGGCAAAGGAGCTACAGGGCAGCCAGCATATCAATAATCAGCTGCATAAACACGAAGAAAACAAATAACTGATTTTACAATGATATGAATTAACATAACAAAATATGAATGATACAAACTGAAATGACGAGCCTTTTCTTAATGGTGATGGACAGACAGACTTCTAAATCACTTTCACTTTCTGAATGCCCGACTCCTTTGCAGCTATAAGCTCCCATTTATGAAAAAGATTTTCTACTGCATGTGTTCTAAATTATGCGTGAAGTCAGTGTGTGTGTGTGTGTGTTTGTGTATAACAGTAATCCCTTGGATGGTTTACTAGGCCAGCGGTATGGCGTGAGTGAGACATGAGGCTTTAACCCCAAAACATATGCTGCTTCCTCTCTCTCTCTCTCTCTCTCTCCCTCTCTCTCTCTCCCTCTCTCTCTCGCTCTCCCTCTCTCTCTCTTGCTCTCTCCCTCTCTCTCTCTCTCTCCCTATTTCTCTCTCTCCCTCTAACAGCTTAAAGAAGTCCCGTCCTGCCAATTTCTGTAATGGATTCATTTGCCATGAAAGGATGTTTTGCTGTGCTGTGTGTGTGTGTGTGGCGTGCACGTGTCTAACTTGTGTGTGCGAGTGTAAACTTTCCATCTGGGATCTGCTATCAGGAGAGATGATTTCCTCTGCCTCAGTGTGTGTGTGTGTGTGTGTGTGTGTGTGTGTGTGTGTGTGTGTGTGGGCGCTCATCTGGTCCTGTGAGGTCACTTCCTTCCTCTGTGGCCTCGGTGCTCTTCAAGTGTGTGAAACAGATTTAGTCCTGAAGTCCACCATTTGCAGTCAGTCGGTGAAAATGTGAAGAGATGTTAGATGTTGGGTTCTGTCTCTGACTCTGAGCCTGGTCACACACCTTTTTTTTTATAAACTTTGGAGCAAAGTCAACGAGTTCCAATGGAATGACCGCTATGCGTTGGATTCTAGCGGGGAGCTGAGGCAGATCTAGACAGAGCTTTCACTCACTGTCTGGTGAACTCTGACACGAGAATTTGCTCCACTCGGAAAACACCTCGACCGAGCTTTCCTTCGACGACGCCATCATATTAGCCGTGTCACACCATCAAGTGTTATACAACCATGCTCCGCCAAAGTGTTAAATGCACCAGAAAAGAGAAGCATCATGGTCTGCAGCCGCCATCAGACAGGAGTCCATAGTCCATAATTAATGTCCATTGGACAACATTCACCTCTATAACAAAATTATAAGCTACCACTTCCTCTGCTCCTGGTTTTGTTCGCTGCACTATAAAAGCAGGCAGAACTGCCACACTGTGTGTGTTTATGTGTGGACAAGGAAGACAAATGAATGCATTAAAGTAACAGAATTGGATTTTTAGGTCGACCATTAACAATGAATATGTCTTTTGTGAAACCGATCGACTGATGATGCGCGACTAGACATATCAATATGTAGTTAACAACATCCATATCCCTCTTTTTCCTGTGTGTGTGTGTGTGTGTGTGTGTGTGTGTGTGTGTGTGTGTCACAGCTAACCGAGCGCCGAGTGCAGCAGCCAGCAGCTCTCAGACAGGAGACGCCTTAGGAAAAGCACTCGCATCCGTAAGTGCAGTACACAAACATACGCACATGTATACATGTGAGATATGTACTTCGTGTTTTATTAATGCAAAATGATTTTTTAAATGAATGTTATCTGGGTCTTTTATATCTTTTTTGGGTTCTTGGAGTTGTGATCTATCCATTGATATTGTTCTACATGCTTTTCTGACTTTTATTTTTATTTTTATTTTTTCAGATCTACTCTCCAGACCACACGAACAACAGCTTCTCGTCCAATCCCTCCACCCCAGTCGGCTCGCCGCCCTCCCTCACAGGTAGCACATGACACTCACCGTCTAGTCACAACGCACCAGCTACATCGTCATAGAATCAACAACCGCAGATGGAAAAAGCAGAGCTGACTCGGACTGGAGGAGCAACTTCACCAATCACAAAACTGAGGACTTTGAACTTGACTTGAACTTGTTCCAAACAACTTGAGACTGGACTTGAACCTGTTTAAAATGACTTGAGACTGGACTTGAACTTGTTCCAAATGACTTGAGAAGAAGAAAGCAAAAGTAAAAAGAATAAATGTTATTTAAGCAAACCACGAACAGCACATTTAGCTACAGCTATATATTTGTGTGTAATAAATTGAAAGGGATTTCTACGTTTCAAGTGCAATCACTTGGAGTAAAATGAGACCATGAAAACACATTATAGATGCTGTGTCTCCTCTCTACCCTCCCAATCCCCTTTCTCCTCCTCTTATTTCCACCAATTACTCCTCGCGGCTGTAAACTCTCCCTGCTTCTTAAAGTGAAAAATTACTTTTCCTAATAATAGTTGTGTCGAATTTGTCTCTAATTGTCGCCGCTACACACACCGTTTGATATTTCTGTGCCGCACCTTGTGACTGATAGCTTTAATTACGAGCACCACTTCGGCAAATCGTTCACAAACCTACCGGCTCCCCCTCCCCTCTTCCTCCTCCTCCTCCTCCTCGTCATTATAGCTGCTTCGGATATTGCCTGCTAAACCATAATTGGTGTTTATCATTGTGTCGGAGTTACTCCACTTTTTACAAATTAGAAATGACGTCTATTAGAGCAAACTACATGCAAATTGATATTAAGGCTAATTCTGCAGGGGTGTTTTACAGAGTCGGACTCTGAATAATTTAACCAGCCGTTTAATACATATATTTGTATTTGCACATGAATGTACCCAGGTGATTATTCATTAATTAGCATATGGTAATGAGCATGTATTATGAATAAAGGAGAAGGGGGAGAAAAGACTGTGAGACAAAACGGGAAGACAATTACAAAAAGGGAGAAACACAAGCTAATGACATGAGATCCGAGTTAGAAAGGAGAGATCAGTGGTGAGGGCAGAGAAGAGGTAAGAGTAGAAAACGATGAGAAGGGGAATAAAGGAGAGAGGAGATGGAGGAATGAGAAAAGGAAATGAGAGGGAACAAAAGGAAGTGTGAAAAGGAAGTGAAAATAGGGAGGAACACAAGGAGTGGATGTGTTGAAAGGCGAAGACAAGAGAAGAAAGAGGAAGCAAGTAAAGAAAACAGGAGACAAAAGGAGAGAAAAAACAAGGAACTGGGGTATGATGATGATGGAGACATAGGAAGAGAGAAAAGGAGAATGAAGAGGAATCAAGAGGACAATGAGGAAAGAGAAAATTAAATGAGAACAAAATAAGTGTCATGAATGCTTCTTTCACCTGACTGGATAAAAGCTGCAATCAGTGATTTTCAAAAAACGCATTTTGATTACAACTGAAATGAAATAAGCTCATAAGCTCAGAAAGCGTTTATCCCTCTTAACTCTTCATGGACTGAAATGATCTATATGAGGAGATTAAAGGGCCCTCGGAGGGCTGAAGGGCATGAGGTCTGAGATTTTTCAAGTCATTTTTGACCACAATCTAAATTCCATTCACCACCAGAGTGTCATCGAATAGAAGAGGTATACCTTAAAAACCTGGACACATAGATCAAAAACTATCTCTCTGACCAGATACAACGAGGGATGGGTGGCTGAGCTCAGTGCTTTGAAGCTCGTCTCACATCTGAAACGCTGTTGAAAGGCCTCGGTATACCCAGAGCCTCATATTGATGTAAATTCACACAAGTCGCTGTCTACCAACTAATGAGACCCGTCGACCCTCCTGAGCGACGGCAAACACAAAAGCAGAAAAGAACAGAGACACAAAGCGTGTTTATTCTGCAGAGGGCCCATGCTAATCAACCACTTGTACCTTTTTTCAAAGACAAAAGCCTGGTATTAGCATTTCTGCTACGAGATACGAGTTGGTTTCTTCTTGTCTTTTCTCCCTCATCTCCACATTTATTATGTCCGAGCACCACAAGACGACGAAACCCTCATCAAGTGTAAATTATGTTTTGTCTGCCGCTTGGCGCTACGTTGAGTGGTTTGTTTCTACGACTCATGAAAGGAGAGGCGGTTTTGGCTCTGATCTACATGCAGACATCCATTTTTCTGTGCACTCGCGGCCTGTGCAGGAGTCGATAAGGGGGCTGGAGCCTATCCCAGCATGCACCGGGTGAGAGGTTACACCCTGGACGGGTTCGGCAGTCTATCGCAGGACATGTATGCAGATGAAGGGATGCCAGTTTGAACCTAAACACAGAAAACACAAAAGAAACATGAAGTCTCCAATTATCCTTCCCACTCCCAGATCTCCCGCTCATATCTCCCTGTTCTGTTCTCCGAATCCTGTCATGCATCCCTGCTTTTAATCTTGCATCGCCTTGCTCCCCAACCTCCTCTCCTGATGATGTCTCCTTGTCTCCTCTCTCCTAGCTGCCAGTTCAGCTGTCTGGTCGAGGAACGGCGGACAGGGAGCGTCGTCGCCGAACTACGAGGCTCCGTTGCACTCTCTGGTATGCGCCCACCCACACACCACATTGTGTCCATGTCTAATATATAAATCTCATTCACCTCCATGGCATTGAGGTGGAGATGTAGCTGCTCTGCTTACTGACCAGACATGAAAAGACGTCATCAGAAATAGTACATTTGTTGGGGACTATTTTCAGCAGCGCATTAATCCACATTCGGTGCTCTAGTGAGTCATTTTGGCAGCAGGACTGAGTGCGTGAGATTGAATCAAAGTAAACTACAGAGTGTGTGTTCATGGTGATGAAGGAATATGTGTACCAGTACAACAGCGTGGCTCACTGATGTGTTTTCAAAGACTTAGTCACTCAACAGTACTTGTTAGTGGGATCAATTAATGGTCTTTTCATGGGATTTCTTGACAGTAAGATGAATATAGTCATATACAGTATATCCCTCCGCTCTGCAGCAAAGTCGCATCGAGGACCGCCTGGAGCGCTTGGACGATGCCATCCACGTGCTGCGGAGCCACGCGGTGGGACCGTCGACGGGTATGGCCGGCGGGCACGGTGACATGCACAACCTCATCGGGGCGGCACACACGCACAACGGCGCCATGGGCGCTCTGAGCAGCGGGTACGGTTCGGGACTGCTGTCGGCCAACAGACACTCCCTCATGGTAGGTCCTGAGAGTATGTTTTTATACTGTAGGGATGAATGTAAGGGGGGTGACAGAAGTCCCATTAGGCCCTCTATAAATGGTCTTCAGTGTTATTGTGGCACAAAGTAAAACCATGCACATTTTACAAATGCATTTTTTCGTGAGAGAATATAAATTTACGGTTAAGATATTATAGCGCTGAATGTCCAACGGCTCCTCATATTGTTGTTTGTTAAAGTGAAAACACTTTGACTTTGCTAAACGCCACTCAGCAAATCTATATTTTTTATTTGATCCACTTTAATTTGTTCACTGTGGAACTGAACCAGAGATATTAATTTCACTCTGATTCGGACTAGCCAAACAGGCTTTGTCTTGTAAAAGCGCACAAAGCGCACTTGTTTACCACTGACATAATCCCATTCCCCAAAATATTCTGAGCCATGATCTATGATCGTGTTCATACAGCTGAGTGGCGAGTCACTGACGACAACCGGTATCTTTTTTAGTGGTCATTTTATATGAATCACAAGGTGATGAAATGAGTAATGCACGGTCATACACATGGTCAAACATGTTTACATAGTGTATTATTCATAGAGGTCGAAACCGGTAGTTAAAGAGGAGGAGCAGAGGAGTGAGGGGAGGAGGCCAGCGAGGAAAGGAGGAAAGGGCGCAGGACATAAAAGAGGAGAGGAGAACTGAGAGGATGAAGTCAGCAGTAATGTTTTCCATATTTTATTTTGGATTTTTTTTTTTTTTGTCAACTTGAAACAACAAACATAAAGAACCATACAGCTGTGTGACATAAGGAGATGTAGGAGGGCGAGAGAGAGAGAGAGAGAGAGAGAGAGAAAGCATTATGAAACACTGCTGCCATAAACACACTCACATGCCTGAACATGTTCATTCAGACCTACTTCATTTACTTGTGCTTCATGTTTTTGTGCATATTCACACACAAACATGCACACACACACCAGATGTTCATACACACAGACTCACATACGAGACAGCACCTCTTTGTCTGTACAAAAACTGTGACATCATCCGTCAGGCCTCTGAAGGGACGTTTTGGCTTTTGTTCCGTCTAACAGTTTTGTATTGTGGCTGTAATGAACGCTGCGGCCTCTAGGTGCTAGCAGCGCCCCTACTCCGTTCTCACTATACGGCCGTTCAGGAACTTTGTCTCTCTGTCTGGTCTTTGTTAAAAGTATTTACTTTGAAGTGTCGTTTTCTAAATGGAGAGCACCTGAGGGGTGTGTGTGTGTGTGTGTGTGTGTGTGTGTGTGTGTGTGTGTGTGTGCTCTCATACGCTGGCTGGCTCCCGCAGAGATTATCTTCTTCTCACGCACATCTGTCCAGCTCTCTCTCACTCTCTCTCTCTCTCTCTCTCTCTCTCTCTCTCTCTCTCTCTCCTCTCACATGTGTGTTTGTTGTACTTCCTGCTTCAATCTTAAAGGTGCACTGAATTTATATTAACAATGATTGAGATGTAATGTGAACGCTGTCACTCATAGTTCACAGCCACTCTGGACAAAGCTTGTGATTGCACCAGACAATGTGTGTTGGGTATTCATTTTGTCTGTGGGCTACAGCACAGCAAAGTAGGAAATAACAACGAGAAACACAATTAACACGGACAAACACAACAGCCATTTAACTATGTAGCTTACTGGTTGAAGCCCAAATATCCAGGAAAAATGACCAAACTTAAAGTTGAGTTTCATGGTTCTGTCCTACTCACTGATGTGGTTTCCAGCAGCAGGCAGCTGTTTTCAGCAACGCTCTGATGAAACCCACTGTACACACTGTGTGCCCTGCACCAATCGGCATACAGAAACAGTTAGCATTAGCTGTTGTTAGCATAGTGGAGCATCTAGCAGCTAGAGAGGCAAATAGTTTTTGGTAGGTTAGTGGAGACCAAACCAGAGTCAACATTAACTATTAGACTGAAGCTGATCAGGTGGACACAAACACAACACACATTGGTGTTTGTTGTTAGCTTACTGTGGGCAAAAATACGGATCAATGCAGCTTTAAGATAATTAATTAAAGTTAAGATAGAAGAATTAGGCATTCAGTGAAAGAAAGAGACAACATACAAATATCAAAGTTTTACGAAATGATTTCAATGTTGAAGACTAATAGAACAAGACGTTATACAGAGGATCTGAGTCACAGAGCGACTTGTTCACTCTGGCTACTAAACACTTAAGCTTAAGTAAACACTTCCTTAACTTTGCTGTTAGTTTTAACACATGTTTGCTTTTCAAACTGTGTACATAAAGATTTGACCAAAGGGGAAAGAAGATTACAGTGCGTTTTGGATTCACTATGTCATTTTGAAGTTTGTAAAATTGAAGGGAAACACTTGCAAACTGCTCTTTAAGTGTTATTCTGAGCTGCTTTTTAACACTTTTCTGCTCTTTGGACGTCTCCGGAGACAAATTTGGCGTTTAGCTTTATGAGGTGACGTGCGGTTCAGCCCGAGAAAACATTAAAAGTGAACTCCTTGTTACGGGTAATATTTGTACAAACTACTTTTCAGTTTAATCTTGAAATGATTCAAAGTGCATTTCGGACTTGCTTTTATACATACGCGTCCAGTGGAATAATAGAATCAAATCAAGTGAAGGATATGTGTTAAAAAACCCCACTATTTTATTAATGGACTCTATAAAAACACACAGAAGCTCATGAATTGCTCCCTGTGCTGTCATTAGGACCCGTGTGTGTGTGTGTGGGTGTGTTTATTCAGGCTCTGGATTATTTGCTAAAAGACAAACAGACTCATTAAGACTGAAAACACAGCAGCTCTATAAAAGTTTTTTTTTTCACGGACCAGTGTCGGTTCTCCTGATGACATTTTACTCTACAGACACAGCAGGAGATGGCTTGTTATACTGTTGTAAAAACGGTCACATTTCCATAAAAATTTGACCGCAATTTGCTAAAAAGAAATTAAATTAAATGCATAAACTCCATTGGAACACTGAGCTATTTTCCAGTGTTTCACTGCCCGTCACTGGACGGTGTCGTCTTTCCTTCCACCTTACTCTCCATTCCTAAACCCCGGAGAGGAATTTGTTTCCTCATGGAGGTGGAAAGTTTATGACCACCGGCCACACGATCAGATCTCCTTCTTGGACACAATGGACGCTACGCATATGTGTTGTGGAAGTTCACCCGCCACAAGAGCTAAGTTCCGTTCAGACAGATTAAAATGAGTGGTCATTTCTTCATGAGATGGGAAGGAATAGACGGGGGCTGAAGTCTCCGTATGAAACAGGTTAGTTAGTTACCCGTTCATCAAAAAAACATGATCAATGAATGCGCTCGTGCACACAACACTGAGTCTGCAGAAGATTGCTAGGGACGGATCAGACATGCAAAAGGATTATTTCAGAGGTGTTTTACATGAGAGAACATAAGGTGTGAAGTGGAACAGACCTGTATTTCTAGACCTGTAGCTATCTTATACAATACAGGGAGTAGGGCTGTCCTCGACCAAAGAAGTTCTAAGTCCACTAGCACACAACTTTAAATGTGTTTACCAGAAGTGTGCTCAGAAGTTTCTTGGAAATAAGTCATTATTTACGACCGATTAGTCCACTAATCGACTCAGAGTGGGCGGCTCTAGTATTGCATCACTGGGATTACTTTAGTTTGATTTTGTGCACTCAAAAATGGGGGGGGGGGGTAGAGCCTATTGAAGCATTTTCTTGAATTTATGCTTCATGTCTGAGCTATGATGCTGAAACTCTCGCACCATGCCAGTGCGGCTCGAATGCTCGCGGCCAATCGCGGCATGGTTCCTCCCCTGGACAAGTGCATGTTTTTCTGGTTGGCAAGACATTGTGGGGACCCACTGACATGTGGGGGACTCACCTCTATGGAGTAGTTTGATTGGAGTAGCTGCTGGTTCCAAAAGTGTTTCTCTTGAGCGTGTGTATGAGATGCACCCAGCTTTCAACTAACGCCAATGAAAACCCATGTGTTGCTGAACTATCGCCAGACAATTATGTTTTTCTTGACTGTCTTTTGTATCCGTAGTCTGCGATATCCACGTGGCATTTACAGTATAGTTTACGTCAAGGAAAGCTTGTGGTTATGACAAATAACCCATATTTATTATGAATCTGCCAAGACATCTCCCCACAATTCCTCACACTTTTCAATACTCGATTTTGTGGACACATCTCAGTTGGTACCCAACAGCATGGAGGTTTGCTTCCCGGGCCCTTGGTATGGTGTGAGGAGCAGCATGTGTGAGTGTACAGTGTAAACAGGAAGTTTGAACCAAAAGAAGAGAAAGAGACTCAATAGAAGCACTGAAAAAACAGCAACAAATGAGCGGAAAATGAAGCGAGAGGAAGGAGTGATGTAATGTCTAAAATGAAGCCATTGTGTTTGCACTGAGACTTTTTTCTGTTTTTCTCATGCATACATTCACTCTCTCTCCTAGTTTTTCTGACACTCCTAGTCACCCTTTTATATTTCTTTCTTTCTTTCATCCACCATTTCCTCTTTCACTACTCTACCCTTCTCCTCCCCCTTTCTTATTTTTGTATCTTTCTTCTCTTTCCTGTCTTCCTGTTCCAGTCCCTCTCTGATTCTTTTCCTTCCTTTTCATTCTTCAATTTCTCTTTCTGTAACTTTCCCGCACTTCCTTAAGTTATCGCCTCTTGTTTCTTTTCTATATATATTTTTTCCATTAACTCCATTTCAGATGTGACAACTCTTTCTCTCTCTCTCTTCTGCTGCTCTTGCTCTTATACACACACACACACACACAGCTGTATGTAGTTTGGCAGTGTTGGGCAGAGACGCCTGCAGGCTGAGGTCATAACTCTGGGAAAACAGGTGGTAGACTGATGCAGGAGAGAGAGAGACGCATACATATAGACATTAATGCGTCATACACACACTGAAATACATAAACACATTAATGCAGATACGCACATGTGGTCTATTAGGTTTATATTGTCTCAAATCTTTGCAGTCAGTTAATAAAA